GCACACTCACAAACAGCTGAGAAGACAGAGCCAACTGGTTAACAGGTGATGCAGATAATACAAGCTGATTCTCAAGCACAGCAGACAAGGCTGAACAGCAGCTTTTCCAGATGAGGAAAAGGTTAATCTGTCTCTGACAGTGGCCAGTAATGGCTATCTAAGGAAGAGGATCAGCATGAGGGCAGAATGGGGCAAAATGTTTTCAAAATAATCCTCTAACTTCCAGCCTTGTAGGTCTGGGAGTTGCTGAGCCACAGGTGAGGTCTGTGTATTATCAACCCTTGCTTGGACTTCTTCTGTGAGATTGTCTGGTTGGTTGTGGTGGGGTTTTTTTTGGAACAATGTTAGCTTTTAACAGTCACAAAATCCTGTGTCAAGGCAACAGCAGTCCAAAGACCTACTTTTTCCACTCAGTGGATCCACTCAGATCTGCTTCCTTCTCATTTAATTTCCTGACCCTCAGAGGACAGGTAATCACCATCCACCTTTCCCAAATCAATCTCTGTCCTCCCTGCCTGCACCTGTGTCTTCTCCAGGCTGAAGAGACAATGTAGTCAGGATAAAGTCACTTCACCTCCACAAACTGATCTACATCTTGGCTTATATAGTATAGATTAAGTGAGCGAGAACAGCTTCACACCTGACTCTGCAGGTGGAAATGGTTTTTGAAGGAAGTTGTTCAGAAGAGGTTTAGCAGTACCAAAATCCTAGTGGCAAGTGTGCTATTGACTTTCATTGAAAACTGCTGTTCCAGCTCCATGTTGTTCCTGCAAAGGGGATCAAATGAGGTTCCTACAGGTGTATGTGCATAGGGTAGGGGTGTCACTTGAGAACCTGTCCAGTAATCATTCTACTGCAGAATATCCCATGCCAGGTGACTCAGAAACATCCTCCTGTGACAGAAGCCAAGGTGCTAGGTGAGTTTATTCTCCTCATTCCCTGGGTTTTAACTCCAGCAAACCCCTTCTCTCTCCCATCTGCCTCCTTAGGGAGGTCCTCTGACCTCCTCATTCTTGCTCATAGAGCCTGCCTTCACCTCTCTTTGATGCCCATCACTCTTTCCTCCCTCCCTAGGGCTATCCAACTGGATTTGCCTCCCCTTGATTTTCCTCCTGGGCTAGCCTGTCAAATATTTCTGGTGAAGGATAGACAGCATATCCTTTTTACTCCTGTTTCTGAACATCCTTGGTACAGCAGCTAGTGTATTTCTGTTTTGTTCTGCAGATTAGTTTAGTAAATATTTCTCTTTGCACACAAACTTTTGCTTTGGGCCCATATGTTTTGACTACAAGAGGCAAAACAGGATCCAGTTTGGAAACTGGAATTATTGTTAAAGTGAAGAAGGACTGGGTTTCTGGGTTTGTGCAGTCATTTGGTTTATACACAGCTGATGTGAGGCTGGGTGGATTTCAAGACGCTTCAAGCAATTATACCACAAGCCTATCAATCATATCAACAAGGTCAGCTCATCAGCAGGTTTTTCTGAAACTACATCAAGAATGTTTGCAGAACTGACCTAAAAGTGTGTTGCCCTTTTGGGGGACCTACCTTAGTCCAAATTTTGAGATTTTCCAAATGGTATCAAACAGTGAGGTCTAGAAGCATTTGAAGTAGGAAGTACTCTGGTCTTCCCAGTTTTAGATATCAAGATAATCAGTGCATAGGGTTTCTCTGCTGCCTCATATTGCCTGGTGCATCTTCACCATGTCTGCCTGTTTTTTCTGCCACCCCAACTGGTTCCACAGATTCTCACATTTGCCACCACACTTTTCAAGACAGTTTTTTTTTTTCCTAAACTTCCCCATGTCTCCTAATCTGCAGTGGCTTGTCTTGTCTCCTGTGTCATTGGCCAAGGGGCTGCTGCTGTTCCCCTGAGAGCCATTTTGAAGCGTATGGGTGCTGTCCTGGGATGGATGGATGGATGGATGGATGGATGGATTGATGTTCTGGAATGGTCCTGGATGTTTTCCAACTTAATCTCTCAATTATCACTTCACCATTCATAAAAAGAGACAGCTACAGTTGTCTTGCTTTCCATGGCTTTTTTTGGATTATGGACCATCTTTTGTCATGTGAGTGGGCATGGTAAAGTCCTCTACAGTGATCTTTCTCGGGGAAAACAGACAAAAGTTCTGTTTCAATTTCCATTGTAACTGGTTTCATTCTCACAAGTGCATTTCTTTTAATCAGCATATTTCATGTGCCTTCCCTGCCCAGTCATTTCTCCACGGACCTACCCAAACTATTCTTTCTTTTCTAAATATGTCGTCCAGAGCTCTGGGGAGCAGCCTTTTGGGATAGGTCCAACATAAGTAACAATGGGATTTTTTACACCTGACTGATCAATACCTTGATTCATTTGTAAGGAAAGGCAGCAGGTAATTTTAGGAAGGGTGTGTGCATGTGCATGGAAGGAGTGTTTTACATAACTCTATTCATTTCAGCATCTACCCAGCAATTAGGAGAAAGCCCAGATCTGATAAATAAGGCAGCAAGAAACAATGATCCCTCTTTCTTCGCAGTATTTGCAGAATGTCTCTTCTGGGTGGCTTTTCCCAGGGCATGGGTTCCCCCTCCCCCATATGCAAGTAATTTCAGGAAATGCCTCCTGTTCAGACGAACGGTGGGGGTTGTCTATGGCTGGACTTTCAACTTCTCTGAAACACCCTGCTGTGTTTTTTTTTTTCTTCAGATTTAGGAAGAAATGTCGCTTTCATAGCACTGATTCCTTGACTGCTTCCCGTTGTCTAGAGCGGAGGTTGTATCCTGTCTTTACCCCAAGTGGGGAGAGCAAGGATGCCTTTGCGTTGCCTCCTCCAGCTCCAGCTGCGCTACTGGAGGAGGCTGATGCAGCTTCCTTCAATTGACCAAAAGGAAGGTTTTCCTGCAGTTCAGACCTCAACAAGGGGACAAGACACAGTGCCAGGGAAAGCAAGTCCCCATGTCTCTGTTCTCAGCACCCTTGTGGGAGGTAGGACACCAAGCCAAACCCGTCCCTTCTTTAATGCACAGGGTGATGGGGCTCAGGACACCTCTGTTGGTCCAAGGACATCAGATTTTCTCACTTCTGAGGGTAGGGCAGACGTTTTCCAAGTAAAATATTTTTTCAGTTGTTAAAAAAACCTGCAAAAATTCACATATGTTCCAGTGATATTATTTTTCCTGGGCAAATAGCTACTTCAAAAATAGAGTACTAAAAAAGAATCTGCAAAATAATTAAAAATAATAATAAGCAGAAAAATCCAATCATTTCCCCAGTTTCCCAGCTCGATGCTTCAATTGCATCTCATTGCAATTTCATTTGGAAATTTGCTTAAACATAATCATACTCTTCTTTAAGAAGTGAAAAAAAACCCCCACAAACCAGCTCAAGAGTAATGGTTTTTTACTCCAAATTAAGTTTTATTAACACTTTCTTTTTCCCCACTGAGTAGCTCAGGAAATGCTGATTTTGGATGTGAAACAGTTATTAAAGACATTCATTTGTTTACAACTTTCCAATTCTGACAGAGGACAAAAAAAAACTTACTAAATGAACAGCTCAAGGCTGGAACATGGTAGAAACTTTCAAAAGGAGAGGAAGGCCAGGGATCACACTTTCCTTTTGATTTGCCAAGAGGAAAAAAAAATTAAAGAAAAGAAAAAGAAGTATTTTCTTGACTTCTTTATGCTTTATATATAACACCTAAAAATGGCTGAATGAATTATTTCCCTTTTCTGTTTTGCTCATGAAAAATAAAAATGTGCAATTCCTCTGGTTTCCTGGGAGGACTTGCTGGAGGATTAATGAGGTGATGCCACGAGGAAATGCAAGTTAAGAACCCTGAACAGCTCCAGCGAAAAAAAAACCTTCCCAGAGCGTTTAAATACCTGTTTAGCTAAAATACCTGACCCGGCAGTCGAGAAAACTCCCACTGCAAATGTTCAAAAGCACTGCTTGAGCTTTCAGTGTGGAAAAGGTGCCCCGGTGCTTCTCTGAATCATCAGAGGAGTCTCTGTGTTAAGAACAGAGACAGGAAGATAGAGGATGGAGGAGAGGAGAGGATGGAGGAGAGGAGAGGAGAGGAGAGGAGAGGAGAGGAACCTTTGAAAGGGTAAACCTGCGTTAGGTGGAAGAACAGAGGTGGCTGTGTTTACAGGGTACTGACTTGGAAATGAGGCTTCTTACTCTGTTGGTCAGTTAATAACGGTGCGAACCCATCAATATCACTTCACATTTTGAGTCTCAGCTACTCCATGCATGAAGAAGAGGTAGTGGAAAACGATGCTCACCTATCATCATAAAGATTAAGAGGAGCTCTATGAGCCAGGCTCTGCTGCTTGGATTACTAAAGAAGAGTGACCAACTGGGACACGGGGATTAAAGCTGAGGGAGGCTTGGGGATGGGAGAAGCACCAGGAGATGATGGCAAGGGACCTCTTGCAGGGGCTGGATGGGCTCAGGGCACCATGGGGCAGGAATTGTGAGGACCTGGATGGAAGGTTATGGAAGCACATAGCCTGAATTTACAGAGATGATTTTTGGAGGAGGTTCGGAGGGGTGGGGAAGGGAGTCTAGCAGGGGATTAATGGAAAGTATCATGGCTGGGAGGGGTGGTAGGATGTGGCCCAAGACTTCAGAGCTGTGTGTGTGCTAGCAAACAGTCAAGACCAAGGGAATGGGACCCTGAGCAAGGGCCCTGACTGAGACTGCAAAGAGATGGGGGTCTGGGGGTGTGGGGACTTCCAGGACTCTCCAGGGGGGCAGAGAGGAAGGAAGAAGACACCCTGGGGATGGAGGGGGTGAAAGGGGGGCCATGCACCCCGGCGCTTGGGGGTCGCCCAAGACACAGGTCCACAGGCTGCTCCGGGTCAATGGAGACACAAACACACACACCCCTCCCGCCCCGGGGACAGGGACCCGGTACCGGGGAGGCGGGGAGGAGCGGGGCCGGGCCGCCAAGCCCCTCCCGCGGAGAGGCGGGTGCGGCGGCGGCAGCCCGGGGGAGGCGGCGAGGGTTTGCCCGGCCGCTCGGGCACGGCGGAGCCTGCGCCCCGCCGACAGAAGTTTGCTGCTGAAAGGGGAGGGGGAAAAAAAAATAATAATTAATAAATTAAAAAAAAACCAAAACCACAAAGAAGGAAGAGCCCCCTCCTTCTCTGCCCCGGAGGGATGCGGCGAAGAGCGGCCGGCGGGAGCCCGCGCTGCCCGGCCCGGCTGCGGGCATGACCCGGGGCCGGAGCGGGGCTGAGCCGGCAGCGGTGTGAGCCCTCGCCCCGGGAGGGCCGTGCCGGGGCGGCGGGGACGCCTCCCGCCCTGCCCAGCCTCCGCGCATCCTCCGGCACCGCCTGCGCCGGCCGTGCCGAGCCGTGCCGGGCCGGTCGGTCCGAGCCGAGCCCTGCCGTGCCCAGTCGGTGTGATCCGAGCGGTAGGATGAGGGGCATCCTCTACTTCTGCACGTTGATCCTCCTGGGTGAGTAGAGCGGCGGCACCGGGGAAGTGGCGG